TGTTACGAATCTAAGGCTGAAATTCAAGCTTTTTGGATAAAATTTTGATCCAATGGCTCATATTCATTAATGTTTACTATAAATATGGATAGAGAGTGAGGGGTTAGAGGTGTAAAAAGTTTTATAACTCCATTTGGAGAGGAGGGTTACTCTTAATTGAGAAGACCTTCCAATTTTGTAACTTTTTGTTACAATCAAAAAAAGAATTTTTTTCACCTCTTCATATTTTTCTTTTCTTCTCTTTGTTTGATGATGAAGATGAAGATGGGATGAAGATGAAGATCAAGAGTGAGGTTTGTTTTCATCTTGAGGCTAGAACCCTCTTGGGTGGTAAATTTCCTTTTTGTTAATATTTTTATCTTTTTATTTTCTTGCTTAAATAGCCAAGAGGCTAGAACCCTCTTGCCTTAAATTTATTTTATACTTATAGAGTAGATTTATTTCATGCTTATAGAGTAGATTTATTTTTTTACATTTAATTCTTGTAATTTATTTTGTAGTTTAGTTCTTGTAATTTATTTTGTAGTTAGATTTTATTTTCTTACACTATTCACCTTGAGGCTAGAACCCTCTTGGGATTAGTTTTTATTTTTCTTTATTTTCATATTCTTTGATTCGCCTTGAGTCTAGAATCCTCTAGGGAATTGTCTTTTCTTTTGAGGTGGGTTCAATTCTAGATTCCTCGTATCTTTAATTGAATCCTCATTCTTTTCTTTCTTTATTTTTCCTTTTCTTTTATCTTGATTTTTATTTCCTTCATTTTTTCCTTTCTTTCCTTGTGATTTCATTTATTCTTTATCTATCACTCTCAATATCAAATTTGTTTACACACAATCATTCTCATGCTCTCCATCTCTCCACAATCACATCTATCATCACTCCTAATTGTCATGCACACAACATAAGAACTGAATCTAATTTTCTTCTACAAACACCTTCCTCGTGGGATCGATAACTTTTTATACTATAACTTGATTAGTTGTGCACTTGTAATTTTTGGTATATGTTTATGCCGCATCAGTGCCTACCGATTGACATATTCACTTCCCAAACTACTCTCAATCCAGTCATGTGCATCTTGAGATGTTACCTTGATTTGATCCTGTATACGATCATACACACATGTTTCGGGTGTATAACCCGCTTTCCAAAGAAGGTTTTGTAAATGTATCTGACCAAAGCTCTTTTCAAAACTAGTTCTAATATGTCATAAGCAATAGTGGTGATGGTGATGAGAGCCAAATCTCCTGTAAAATGCTTTTGGAATACCTTTCATCTTATCGGATATATAAGTAATTTTCCTAGGAGGCAACACATTAAAAATATATAATTGAATGTAAGAAAAAAATTACTACTAATTTTCACTGCTCTCAACCTTCACAATTGCGAAGGCTAAAGGAAATGAGCCACCATCTACATCTACTCCTGTAGCAACAAGAAATACACTCTTATATCTACTATATAAGTGTGTACCATCAATGCTAAGAACCGGCCAACAAAATTTAAATTCCTCGATCGAAGGAGCAAATACCCAAAATACAGAGGTGAATTAATGAACTCCCAGACTAATCTCTTTGGTTATGAGCTTGTATTCAGATCCAGGATTGCTTCCTTTGATCGCATCAAGATATTGAGGCAGTGTCACGTAAGACTTCTCCCAGTCACCAAATATTTTTATCATCGCAATTCTCCTTGCATTCCATGCTTTACTATACGATATTTTAATGAACTTTGTATCTAGTACTCTCTCAATTATATTACCGGGAGTTAGTTCAAGCTTCTTCTTTAATTTTGGTATAATCAACCCCGTTATGTAAGAGGCAGATGCACCACTGTGATCTTACTCTAATATTAGTTTGCTACATATGTGAATACCACAGTATTCTGTGATCCTAAAATGCCCATTATGTTTCTTTCCGACAAATGCATATAACTTCCAAGGATATGCGCAATCAGCTTCATTTCCCTCGGCCCGACCTTTCCTTTGTGTATTCATAAAACAGATTGCATCATAATTTGTGCGATTGCTTTTAACTTGCTTGAATTTGACATTCTTTTTGATTGAGTAATCATGAATAGCATCAACCAATTGGTCCTTAGTCTCGAATAAATCACCAACTCTGAAAGGGACGTCATCATCTCCTCTATGAGTTGAACTTTGGTCAATGCACATATCTTGTACTGTGGAAGAACGAATCCACTCATCATCTTCAAACTTGTCAGGGGTGGTTCTTCATACTCAACATACTCATTATTAACATAAGTCTCATCAGGCCAATTCGGATTCTCTTCAACATCTTCACTCACAAATTGCGTGCTATCAATTGGTGTACTATCTTGCCCTTCACCTTCAGAGTCGTTGATTCTTTCATCCTCTTCAATTATTGCCCCTCTTAACGGCCTCATATTTTTATAAGGGACTTCATTGTTCATGACATTTGACGTTCCACCGAATGAAGGTGCACTTGGATATTGAAGTTGAGTCAGCTCTATTTCACTCAAAGAAGAAAGAAAAACCATCATACTCAACTCCCAAATCTAACATGCGTGAAAATTCTCCTGGAGGTTTGAATATTTGGCCCGAACTATATGATAACTTTTTAATAAATAATTCTATCGTTGGTTGCGACTTGCTCAAATTAAACATAATACTCATATGATGATCGTTTGAGATCTCAACTGCGGACGTTCTATCAAAAGTTATTGGCTAATTGTATATTATTTTTAGTTGGTATTCACGTGGGCCAATTTCCGTAACTCGGTGTAATTTCTTAACCAAGTCACAGTAACTATATGATTCTGAGATCATTAATGGCATCGTTACCCTTCCGACGTATATTGGCATATTATTCATTCCATAATTAATTTTCCCACTGTAAGAGAAAACAATAAAAATTATATTGTTCAACTTGTACAAAAGAATATTATATCATTTAAATATAAAAAATTAAAAAATATTATCAGGGCATTGAATAAGAGAGGAAAACCCAAGATGTAAATAATCTCATTTAATTTTGACCAAAAATCCTAAACCCCAAATTGAAAATCCTAAACCCTAGAATTGAGCATTCTATGCCGTAAAGTTTAATTTCAATTACAACAATCAACACACAAAGCATTCAAACCACCAATAATAGAGTGGTTGATAATAAATTTCAAACCCTAGAAATTCGTTTTTGAGAGAAAACCCTAGATTTTTACATGTTAAAAGTGGAGAAAAAGAAGAGAAATTACCCTAGAGATCTTAAGCAGACTTTCGCGACGAATTTTGGCCGCAGAATGAGGTTGAAATTGAGATGTGTTGCAGCAGAACGAGAGAGCGACCGGAGTTGGAGAAGAGAGATGCAGCTAGGAGAGATGAGGTTGGGGGAGAAGGGATTCAGTTAGTTTATATAGGGGGGCGAGCCTAGAACAAGTAGTCGGGGTTGGCAACCTCAACCCTGACTATTGTGTCACTTAGCCAATTTCCCACTTCGCCAACTTCGGGTCGGCCACTTTTTGCTAAATGGTCCGGGTTGGGAACCCCGACCATTTTGAATTAGGCATTTCGAAATGGTCGGGGTTCTCAACCCGACCATTTTTGCAATGGCTAAATTAGTCGGGGTTTCGAACCCCGACTAATTTACCTGCCAAACTATAGCAGGGTAGCAGGCGAGCTCCTAATTAGTCGGGGTTGGCAACCCCGACTAATTAGCACCGTGATTTTTTTTAAATCGACGCGCTTTCTCGCCTCGTCAGCGACATAACGAGAAAGTGAGTCGATTTTCATAATAAAGTTTGAAGTGGATCGAATTTTGGGAATAAAATTGGGAATGTGTTTATTTTGAAAATTTCTTCTAATCCATTTCTAATCCATGTTCTATCGTGGCCCACAACTTAGAGGTGACCCAGACTTGGGCGCTCCAAACAGAGCGCAGGCAAGATTAGGGCTGGGCGTATTCGGTTCGGTTCGGTTTTAAGCCCAATCCGCATCCAATCCGAATTTTTCGGATTCTCAAAACTCTCATCCAGATCCAGATTTTTTCCCCTTCATCCAAATATTCGGCCCAACCGAAATTCGGTTCGGTTCGGTTCGGTTTCGGTTTTGAACCGAATTAACTCCATTTCACAAAAATATGGGTAAGTTTTAGTTATATTCAAAACTGAAAAGAAGCAATCAAAACTGAAAAGAAACAATCAAAACTGTACTAAGCCACTTAATCAAATTGTATGATCTGAATATAACTAGCTTAATACACTAGGAGGACCATGTAATTATGTAGCTTTTTTTTAGAGAAAGAACAATGTTTGGCAGGCACACACACCTTTTGATGATTTTCGTTAATTTTTAGCTGTTTTTTTCTCATCAAGAATTATCTTATATCCTTGATAGCTTATACTATAGGTTAATTTGATATCCAGCACCAGCAAGCTATATTCATGTTATCACTAAAATTTGATCAAAACACTAAATTTATCCTTCAACCTCAACATCTTGTATTGATTTACGGAAATCTCACTTAACTATATCAGCGTACTCAAATATATGTTAGTATAAACTCCACTCCACAATTCTTAAATGCTAAACATTCAGCCATAAATTTTCTTCACACCAAAGGCTCACAGCTACTTTTTGTTTAAGAATTCGGTTCGGTTTTTTTTGGGCGGTTCAGGGGTTCAAACCGGATCCAGACCGGTTTAATTCGGTTCGGGCGGTTTAGAGACTTCTTCTCATCCATTTAATTCGGTTCGGTTAACCGATCCGTTTTTTCGGGCGGTTTTTTCGGTTGAACCGGTTTGTTTCGGTTTTTGCCCACCCCTAGGCAAGATAAACATCTGTGTCCAAGGACATCATTCTCAACTGTCATCTGCGGGTCAAAAATACTCCTGCCCCCAACAGCTCAAGCACCTCAAGCGAGCGGTCATAAACTGTTGCTCTCCCGTCACAGAAGGACCAAAACTGTAATTTTCCAAGCAACCCGGGCCCAAATTAATAATAATAAAAAAAAAAAAAACCGGAACTGCTTCGAGGGGAGAAGAAATTTTTGCCTTGCAGCGAAGGCAAAGGGAGTGTGCGGTGCAGTCACCGAAAGTGCGGGAAGTTCAGCCGTCGTCTTCGTCTAAGCGCGGTCTGGTCACCGCCCGTCTCTCTCTCTCTCTCTCTGTGCGCCTCACTTAAATTTGATCTCCCTCCCTCTTTTCTCCCTCCTCTCACCCTCTTCGTGTCGTAGCATAGCTGAGAGAGGAAGAGATGCCTCTGGTTCGATTGCAAGTGAGGAATGAGTACGGATTGGGAGATCCTGCGCTGTATAGGGTTTCACCGAGGGAGGATCCCAAGGCGATTCTTGATGGAGTGGCGGTCGCTGGACTCATCGGGATCTTGCGGCAGTTAGGCGATCTTGCTGAGTTAGTACAAGCAGTCTATCTCTCTCTCTCTGTCTCTGGGATTTTTTTTAAAAAACTTTCTTTTGAGTTTTTTTTTTCTTTCTTGTGTCGCAATTTGACTTGTTGTAGTTTGCTAGTTATTGAATTTTTTTTTTGTTCTACTATTAATTCACGAGAAAATATGCTAACAAATCCAACCAGCTTGTCTCGATCCGATAAAAGAGATTAAAAAGTAGAGAAAGAATAGGGAATGAGGGAATACGGAAGGGAAAACAAGGAATAATTAGACCAGAGATAAGATTATTCATGAAAGGAAGTAGGTTTAGAACTTCGAAATAATTAGTCTCGAATGTCATGAGCATAAAAAAAATGCTCTTTTTAATCTCAAAACATAAAGAAAATTACTTGTTATAAGGTGATCGCTAACAGGGTGTTTTGGTTGGGGAGTGGCGGTGGCTTTTTTTTTTGGAAGCTAGCTGTTTTATATTTATATGTTTGGTAAAATGCGAAATAAATTAGCTTATAAGCTCCATTTTATAAAGCTGGTATACCCTAGCTTTTTTTGTAAGCTCACCAAATTAAGCTAGGTTTGGCCAAAAAAATTACTACTCTACAGAAAAGGTTTTTATAGTATTTTTATCATAAAAACCAAAAGCCACTAAAAGCAATCAGAATTTAAGTTTGTGTACTGCTCGTTGAAGGGCCTTCACTTGTATAATAGATTTTTACGGCATGGCTATACAACTGTACCTGTCAAAGGCTGCTCACGACAGTACTGTATGTAGAGGGGGGGTTTATCAAATTTATCCAAGTAAATAGACATAATTTCAGACAAAGGGGTGTTTAAGACATTGCAACTAAAGGTCTAGTAATCTGTAGCTTTCCATTAAGGGCCCGTTTGTTTTATTAAAAAAAGAGGGAAATCAAAGAAATGGAAAACTATTAAAATGAAGAATTGGTTTGGGAGTGTTTGGTTGGCTAAAAAAGGAAGGAAATCAAAAAAATGAAAATGAAATGATGTTAGTTGTCACATTATTATTGGATGATGTGAGTGATTTTTTAAGAAAACTAGTTTTGATGTTGTTTGGTTGGCCAAAAAAATAAGAAAATGAATTATAAGAAACCTATTTCCTGTAGTTTGTTTTTTTTTTTTGTTTGGTTCATTCTTAAAAATAAGAAATGAAATGAGATTGAGATGAGTTGTCATTGTATTATTGGGTGATGTGATCCAAGATTAAGAAAAATGTTTTCACAACTTTTTTGGATGAAAACAAAGAAATGAAATGTTAATGAGATGAGGTGAATTGTTATAATATTTTATTGGATGATGTGAGTGATTTGAAATGATGAGAAGAGATGAGTTGAGTGATGTTTGGATGAAAATAATATTTTATTAGATGTGATGGATGAGTTGTTAGATGAAAATAATATTTTATTAGATGTGATGGATGGGTGGTTAGATAAAAATAATACTTTATTAGATGATGTGGATGAGTTGTTGGATGAAAATAATATTTTATTGGATGTTGTGGGTGAGTTTTAGGGATGGAAATGGAGGAAATAGTACTTTTTGAGATTTTCACCTTTACCATTTCTATTTCTTGGTTTTTAGGAAATAACCAAACAGACCCTAAGTACAAATGTACAACCCACCTTTGAGCGGAGTGCAAATCCTCTCAAAACTACGCGCATGTCATTTCTATGTGGAACCATTATCATTTGCTGCATGTTATATGCTTTAACCCATTTTTACTTTTGACCAACACAAATTTGACCTGTGGTGATATGTATCTTCTAGCATCTAGGCACAGGATTATGAATAGAAACTATTTTTCATTTGAGAGTTGATACTGAAAATAGACCATTCTCTTTGATATGGAAGTTGCTTGCTGGCTCATAGTAATCTAAATTTCTATAATGAGAAAGAGATGTGTAAGCCCGAGTAGGGATATGTGAGCGATGCACGTTTAGATAGCTTTTCAATACATTTGTGTATGCAATTCACCTGGAGATATAACTCAAAAGCGAAAGTAGATGAATTTGGAATCTAAAACCATCCAAAATCCCTCAAAACAGGAAGAGTAGTTTCTGAAATATTCCTTCTAGATGCTTGCGCGGTATGTTTTCTGTTCTTGACTGGTTATTTTGACAATTCTAATGCCTTTTGAGAAAATTTTATGGGTTCCTTGGTGGATTATATCTAGAGTAGTTTTGCAAACTTATATTTAGAGAACAAACAATGCATCATCCGTGCAGCGACCAGCGAGCTATTTGTTTCTGCAAATTATTTGAATGTGGTTTCTTTTTGTACTTTTAATAGCCAATTTACTTATGATGAGTGAATTTCTTTTACCGAACTACAGGTTTGCATCTGACATTTTCCATGAGCTGCGTGAGCAAGTGATGACAACTTCCTCAAGAGGACGAAAGCTATTGGCTCGGGTAAAACAACTAGAAATGGAACTTCCAAATGTTGAGAGTGTTGTTCAGGGTCAAAGAAGCTACGTACATTTTTCTTATGAACCAGGTACGATGTATGCTAATGTAATTTACTAACTTTTTATCAAGTTGATCTACTTTTCTTGAACAACACCGTACATATGTCCTTATTGATCTGCCTGATAAATCAATAATTTAAATGAAAAATTTTCTTGTGTTGGGTCTAAGATTCCCAAGATTGAGGGAGCACATGTAAGCGAGCGTGAAAGTTAATGGCCAAAGAAAGTCCAATCCAGAATCTACATTAAATGTTGGATATCCGCCAATTTCCAGTTTCTTTAATTTATATAGTTGTGGACGCGTGGTTCAACTGAAGAGCTAAAAGCTCTATGTAACTGAACGCCACAAAAAAAACTTTATATGATTAATGGATTTGTTATAGATTATAATTGCATTAGTTCATGTGTGCAGAATGAATTGACAATTTAATTGGAATGCATATGTTAAACTTTGCCTCAAAACCCTCAATAATTCTTACTTGTTATGAATAATTAGCCCTGTAGAAATTGGACAGCTGCCCTCATCGTGAACTCTATTAAGTAATGACATTTGATGTAGTTATTTAAATCCTAATTGGCTTTGGACTCAAGTCCAATTCATATTCAATTTGTATCGCTGAAGGTTAAGCTCCCTTGAACAACATCTTTGTTTATTAGCTCAAACTCGGAAATCCAACAAGTGGCTGGGAACTAAGGAGATAGCATCTCACTGTTTGAACGGTGAGGATTAGCCCATGATTAAGTTAATTAAGGGACTTTTGTTAAGCAGACATTTTTTCTAATAGGGTCAGCTGATATTGTATTTTTTTCATCAATAAATTATAGAGAATTGAGAGGGGGCTCATGAGAGTCTGGCTTTTGCCTTTAGAAAATATTGTACTCCCTTCTCTTTTGATAGTAGTGAAATCTCACTTCAACGCCTTTGCTATGGACGTCGCCCAAATTGGGTGAACCACGTAAATTTCTGTGTTTGTGATTGCTTGTTTATCTCATGCTTGTTCTTTGTAATTATTTTCGCTCAATTTTGCACTTGTTTTAACAAATTAGTACCAGAGCTTTGAGTTTTCGATTTGTTTGTGCACATTGAAGATGTTTGCGAAGTTCAAGGTTGAGAAGTTTGATCGTGATGTTTATTTCGATCTTTAGCAAGTAAGGAGGCACGCTAGTCTTGTTCAACAAGGAGTACAGAAGGATTTGTTGTGGAAAGAGAAGATGCCGATATTGATGATAAATGATAAGAAGTTTGAGATGGATGAAAAGACATTAACGTCAATTCAATTGTGTTTGTCAAATGAGGTTTTTCGTGAAGTCATGCACGAAAAGACCTTAGCGGGCCTATGGCTCAAACTGGAATCTCTTTACATGGCAAAAATTTTTGTCAACCAACTGCATTTGAAATGAAAATTATCCATGCTTCGCATGACAGAAGGTACATCTACCAAATTATCAATAATAATAAAATTTATTTCTATTATTATAGATTTAGAGAATGCAGATATAGAGGTAGAAGATGGAGATCAGGTTTTGTTATTGTTATGTTTGTTACCATCCCCTTACAAGCATTTTACGGAAACTATGATATATGGAAGATAATCTATCACAATAGAAGATGTGAAATCATTTTTATTCTCGAAAGAGTTGATGGATAAAGAGTTAACCAGATCCGGTGATGGTAAAGACGAGACCTTAATGTTTGGGGCAGAAATGTAAAACATGGCTTTAATAGTAAAAGTAAAGCGACATCAAAATTGACGACTAAGAGCAGATTCTGTAATTATTGCAAGAAGAAAGGGCTTGTCATCAATGAATGCTAGAAGCTTCAGAATAAGGATAAGAAGAAAGCTCAGAGCAAAGAAGCTTCCTCGAAGGCTAGTATTGTAGAAGATATTTAAGCGATACAGTTCGCATTAGCTCTGTCAGTGCTGGTTATTCACAGAATATATGGATTTTGGATGTTGCTGTCATATGTCTCCCACTAAAAGCATATTTACCTCATATTGTGCTTTTAATGGCTGGATAGTTTTTATGAGTAATGATGTTGCTTGTAAAACAATTGGCATTGGGACATTCAAAATGCACAATGGATTTGTGAGGACAATCACAAATGTTTGTCATGTGCCCAACATGGAGAAAAATCTCCTCTCTTTGGGTGTGTTGGCCTCTAGTGGTTGTAAAATTGCATTAAAAATAAAGAAGATATGAAACTCTTCAAAGGTTCTCTTGTCATGTGAGGTAGCAGCGTTCGAAACTTACATAAACGTTAATAACACATAGTGATAGATGGAGTTACAGCCTTTACATCCACAAGCAGTGATTTAGACTTGACACGTTTATGGCATATGCGCATGGGGCATATGAGTCAACGAGGCTTGGCAGAACTTCATAAGAGATAGCTTCTAAAAGCAATCAAGAAATTGAGTGAAGTTCACTACAGTAGTTCATGGTATCAATGGCACTTTGGATCACGCAGGTGTTTGGGGCTCAGCATCGGTTCGATCGAAAGGTGGTGCTCTTTATTTTGTTAGCTTCATTGATGATTTTTCCTAGAAGCTTTGGATTTACACTTGGAAGAACAAATCAAGTGTATTTGCCACTTTCAAGAAGTGGAAAGCCTTGGTTGAAAAGCAAACATGAAGACAAGTCAAGCGTTTGAGATCCAATAATGGCATCGAATATACTTCTACAAAGTTGAAATAATACTATGAAGATGAAGGCATTGCTCGTCACTACACTACACCAGGAGATCCTCAGTCCTACAGAGTTGCCGAGATGATGAAAGGATGAACCGAACCCTCATAAAGAAGCACGTTGTCTATGCGTAAGTGCTAAATTATTGAAAGAATTGTAGGCTGAAGCTCTTTCCACTACAACCAATGTAGAAAAAGATCTGTTCCAAACCCATTTTACCACCTAACAGAGCTAAAATGTTATAAAACTCAGATAGAATACTCATGTTGCTTTTAACACGGAAAATAACACCAAAAAACACATTTTATCCATGTTATGTTAAGCATTATTTAACACTTGTTAAATTTATTTGATGATCAGATTTGGATGTGTGGCCATATCTTGACCATCACGCTAAACAAAAAAAATCCATCGAACCCAATTTCATTCACGTAATAAATTTTAGCAGTCCCTTGACCCCATCGCCAGGGACTCCCTCATCTTTCCCCTCCACCTCCTCTCACTCCTTCGACGAAAAAATCTCTTGGTCTCTTTTTCCATTCGTGCCTTTGACGAAGAAGAAGCCTCTTACAGGCTATAAGGCTTTTCTTGTCTTCTATCTTTGCTGATGATAAGACTCCTCTCTGGTCCCTCCTCGGTTCCCATACCTCCTCTCGCCGATGAAGAAAATCCTAACCTTATCTTCACCTCCAACATCTCTCCAACTTTTAAATCCTAACTCTTTTCAACAAAAATGAAGCCTTTAGATCCTTACTCGCTCTTCTAATTCTCCTTTATGTTTGAAAATTTTGATGATATTAATTATTAAAATCATTATGAATAGTTTGTATTTAAGAAATATCTAAATAATTAATAAATAAAAATAATTTATATTATGCATTATATTTTTTTGCGTTTTTTTCCTTAACCCTTAATAGATAGAGCGTTACATAATGCCTTATCATTATTCTTAACATTGACTGTAACATGTCTTATGAACACGACACCATCTACTGCCATTGATTTAAAAACTCCTAAATAGGTATGTTCCAGTAAACCTGTTGATGATTCTACACTTTATATATTTGGTTGCCCTGTTTATTCTTATATTAAGAATGACAAACTTAACCCGAGGCCAAGGAAGTATATTTTTCTTGGATGTGCAGACGGTGTAAAAGAGTACATATTGTAGTGTACGAATTCAAAGACTCCATGCCTTATTATTAGCATATATGTTACCTTTAATGGGTCTGCGATATTGCATGGCAAAAGCCAAATTTAGAAAGTTGTAATAATGTTGAGGATACATCGATGAAGGTAGAGTTAGAAGCCCTAATTCAGCTAGAATCAAAAGAAAGTTCAGTAGAACCTAAATCATGAAATTCTTTGCCTACAAATTCAATACAATCAAGAAGACCCAAAAGAAACATTAAGCCACCGGTGAGAAATAGTTTTGAAGACATGAAAACATTTGTCTTAACAATTAAGCAGGGAGGGCCACTCACTTACCAGGAAGCCATATATGATAATAATTTCTCAAATTGGGGATCGATTATGGAGGAGGAAATGGGATCTCTTTGAAAGAACAACATGTGGGATCTTGTAGAGTTACCTAAGAGTAAAAGAGTCATTGGCTGCAAGTGGGTTTTCAAAAAAAAGGAAGCTTCTCCATAAACAGGTGATGGTAGGTATTAAGCACATGTGATAGCTAAGGGTTATGCTCAAAAGGAAGGAATGGACTATAACGAGATTTTTTGCACTGGTAGTGAAGCAAACTTCTATCCATGCCATACTTTCTTTGGTAGTAAAGGTTATGCTCAAAAGGAAGGAGTGGACTATGTCGAGATTTTTTTCACCGGTAGTGAAGCGCTATCCATGCTGAGTTAGAGCAACTCGATGTCAAGACAGCTTTCTTGCATGAGATTTGCATGAGGATATCTATATGCACCAACCCGAAGGATTTATTGGTCAAAAGGGAAAAGAGAGATCACATTATGATTTGAAACAGTCTTCGAGATAGTGGTATAAGCGATTTGATACTTTCATGATTGGGTATGGATATGTGAGGACCTTGCATGATCATTGTGTCCATTACTAGGTTCTTCCGACTTATTCATTTATTTATTTATTACTTTATGTTGATGATATATTGGTTGCTTCAAAGAACATGTCAGAGGTGAAGAATTTAAAACCTAAGTTGAGCGCAAAGCTTGAGATGAAGGACTTAGGAGAAGCAAAGAAAATTCTTGGTATGTAGATTTTTTGAGATCGAAAAGAAAAAAAATTATGGTCGTGGCAGAGGAGTTACATCGAGAAAGTCATTGCTTGATTCAATATGCATAAAGCTATAGCGGTTTCCACTCTTGCAACACATTTTATGCTATTGACATTATTATCACCTAGCACGGATGCAAATCGTGACTACATTTACCTTATGCAAGTGCAGTTGAGAGCATCATGTACGCGATGGGTTGTACTCAACCGGATCTTTCTCAAGCAATTGGTGTTGTAAGTATATGACGAATCTTGGAAAATAGCACTGATAAGCAGTAAAGTGGGTCCTTAAATACTTAAGGGAACTTCAGGTGTTGGGTTAGTATTTGGTGGAGATAGTGAGAGATTGCATTGCTATCAAATATGTTCACTCGAATTATGCGGGTGATTTTCATAAACGAAGATCGACTATAGGTTTTTCGCTTTTGGTGGAGATTCTAATTCTATCTATTGGAGATCAATGCTATAAGCCTATAACCTATTATTGCTTTGTCAATAACAAAGGCGTAACTCATGGCTACTACAGAAGCCACGGAGGAAGCGATATGATTGAGATGTTTTCTCTGTGTGTTAGGAGTTGAGCAGAAAGTTATGCGTTCATTGTGATAGCCAAAGTACGATTCACTTGGCTAGGCATCCAATCCTCAATTCAAAATCAGAGCAAATCGATGTTTGTTACCACTTCCTTTGAGAGATTGCTGAGGAAGGTAAAGTACTCTTGAAGAAGATTGATACAAACAAGAATCTAGCGGATATATTGACGAAGCCATTATCAATAATCAAGTTCATGCTTTGCATGAACTTGCTTCGTGTTCATTGAGGGGCCGTAGGGCGCATTCGCAAAGGCGTTGGGAAAACACTATTGAGAAAGTGGCTAACTATTTTGGATTGTTGAGTCAATGTGGAGAGTCGTTGAACTTTGCCTTGAAACCCTCAATAATTCTTACTGTTATGAACAATTATCCCAGTGGAAATTGGAAAGCTGCTCTCATTGCGAACTCTATTAAAATAATGACATTTAATGTCGTTATTAAAATCCTAATTGGCTTTGGACTCAAGTCCAATTCATATTGAATTTGTATTACTGAAGCCCAAGCCCACTTGAACAACAGCTTTATTTATTCGCTCAGACTCGGAAATCCAACGAGTGGCTAGGAACCAAGGAGATAGCAGCTTACTATTTGAACGGTGAGGATTAGCCCATAATTAATGGGTTAATTAAGGGACTTTTGTTAAGCAGTCGTGTTCTTTTAATAGGGTCAGCCCTGATTATATTTTTTTCATCAGAAAATTATAGAGAGTTGAGAGAGGGTTCATGAGAGTCTGGAGTTTGCCTTTGGGACATATTGTACTCCAGATATTGTACTTCTTTCTCTTTTGATAGTGGAATCTCTCTCCAACGCCATTGCCATGGATGTAGCCCAAATAGAGCAAACCACATAAATTTCTGTGTTCGCGATTGCTTGTCATTTATCTTGTGCTTGCTCTTTATAATTATTTCTGCTTGATTGTGCATTTGTTTTAATAGCATACAAAATTATCTTGGAGTCTCTCCGCACCTAATCTAACTTATAGAAGATAGGTAATTAAGACATTTGGTCATAATGTTCTTAAAGAATCTCGTATATAGCTGTTGGTTTTGTAACAATTTAAATTGAAGTCCATCATATAGTGTTGTATGTTTCTGAGATTGTTTCAAACTGTGTGGAGGAAGTAATATCAGTACACTGGTCTTATGATGTGCTAGCTTTACTTAGAGCAATGCAAATGCAGGAAGTAGGAGCTAATCACACAACTAAAGTGTTGAAATCCTTCTGATACTAATTTATAGTGTAATGTTTCATTTCATGGACATTGATTTAATTTAGTTCATAAATACCTTGCATAGATGAGTTTGGTGAGTTTGTGGATATGTTACATTTGCCACAAATTCCAGGTTCAGATTGGCATGCTGATCTTAAAATCAAGAAGAGTCATCTACTTTCCAGTGACTTGCCACAATTTATGATGGATTCATACGAAGAATGTCGAGAACCACCACGCTTATACCTTCTTGACAAGTAAGATTTAGAATTTTTACCTTAAATTCCTGAGAATGCTTCCAACATATGTAAACAATGTCTTTTATCAGATTCGATACTGCTGGTACTGGTGCCTGTCTGAAGAGATATTCAGATCCTGCATATTTCAAGAGAGAGTGGGATACTTTGGAACTGAAGAAAGCGGAAAAAGTTCAAAGACAGAGGAAAGCGCAGAAAATCAAGGTTAAACTTGTCCCTTTGAGTAACTGCACTTAATGTTGGACAGTTGCTTCTGCCTTCTCAAACTAAATCTTAACAGTATTCTAACTTATATGAGACAAATATTTTGCATAGAGGCTAAGCTCTATCTTAGATTGTATTTTGCATGGATTCCTTATATTTCCTAGATTTCTACATGATCAAAATTGATGAGAATCTAAAAACTATATTGTGATATTTAACTGTGTCCAGAGGAAAGGATCACAAATTAAAACTGGAGAAAGAATATCCTTATCGCAACGTCATAGCAGGTATACTTTGTATATTATTCACTGCATTTAGAGAATATATACTATTGGTTACGATAAGCTCAAGAACTAACTTAGTTTGGTCTCAACTACTGTCATCTTGACAATTGGTCTTGCAGTACACAGTTTGCATCCCCAAGCACCGAAGAATTGCATAACTCGACTGGTTCATCACCTATATCTGATACAGAACCAAAACCCAAATTTGCAAGTAGATCTACATATTTTGGTTCGAGAATGAGGATGGACCATGTTGAAAAAGCCCCAGATACAAATTCATGTGCACTGCTGGATGAACCCGAACATGATGGGCTTTCTGATTCTAAGTTACAGATCGATCAAAGTGGTAGCTTTGCTTCTGATGCGCATGATAAATTAAATGGAGATTGTACAGCTGATGGCTCCCCACATGGGTGGTTGAAAGTGGAAATTTCTTGCAGATCACCTTCTGTTGAATGGGATGAAAAGACTGAAATACTGAAGTCCACAAGCCCCAGATCTTGTAATAACATTACGTTGGATGGTACAGAATATTTAGAGCCTCTGCAAGCAAGTTCTGAACAATCAAACATGGAACTTGAAAGTTCTGTACTGGGAACCATGGACCAGGGGAACAGCATATTTGACACTGAAAATGTACAGACACCATTATCCAATGTAAACCACTTTGAAGAGGTCAACAGTGAGACTGATAACTACATGGATGCACATAATATGCTTGAATCAGAAACAGAAACAGATACAGAGTGCCAAACAAAGCGCGAAATAAAGTCCATGTCTAATTGCAATAAACCATCAATGGAATCTGGAACATCACGACCTCAAGAAATGACCTCCACAGCTTCTGACGTCTCTGGTATTGACACTGTCAGTGGCCCTCACGGTTCCTCAAATGAGAACATCTTCCCTTTGAAACTTGTGCCATCTCGATCAGTTGGTCCTATTTCAAATCCCGGTGACTACATTGATGATCAAATCTCCGAACTTAATGCTGGTGATATGTCAAGTATTTGTGAAGGTGTTCAGGATAGCCTGCCTCCTGAGTTGAGCATCTCTGGTTCACCAGCAATTTTGGGACCTAGAACAACTACTAGTGTGTCTCAATCTCCAGATTCACCTCCTGTTAATTTTTCTAATATTCCTTCTCCCAAATTCTGGACGAATGGCGGTCTGTTAGGACTGGAGCCATCCAAACCCCCAGTTTTCAGTGTCTCAAAAGTGCCAGCTGAAGATTTTGTATCTGATTCTGGTAATGTTATGTATGAGCATTCCAACAGTTTGGAAGGGACTACATCGCATTATAATGGATTGACCACAGAGCAAGAGACAATGTCAACATCAAATGAGATTACATCAAGAAGTTACAGTTTTATTAAAAAAGCAGATGGATTGCCAAAAGCCTCCTTGAATGGCCATCAACATTTTGGTAGAAGTGATAATGTGTTTCCACAACTTGATCCCTCTCAATGTTCTTCAACCTACCTAGATAATCAACTTGATAGTACGCCTGCCAACCAAAATTCTCACAGACATCTTCAAGCTTGCTCTTCATTTGAGTTTCAGAAAGTTCAAGGTGCACATCACAGTTATATCAGTGCTGAGAATGGATGTCATAACATAGTACCTAAAGGGGATGAGTTCCCTAGTAGTCATCCTGTTGAGTCAAAGCCCAATGGATCTGGACAAAACACAATGGATATTAAATCGAGTTTATCCGCTCTTGCTCAGAGAATACTCGCCAACAGTCTTCAAAGAAAACCATCAATTGCCCAAGCTCATAGTGAGAATGTAAATGCTGATTCTATCAAGCAACAAGAAATTTCTCCTCTAAACAATCAGAAAGAAGGCCCAACAAGAGTTGTAGCTGAGGCTTGTTATCCAGAGAACACCAATAATACAGAAAGTATCTCATCAAAAACTTCAAATTTATCAAGTCCACATTTACCAGGACATTTTTCTCCTCCATTAGAACATATGAAAATCTCTTTCCATCCTATGACTTTTATGGAGGCCTCAAAACTGAAACTCGAATATTCCAGTGTCGATTTCGACGAAAATATTGAAGATGTGACATTCCCTTCATTCCGGTTGCTTCCAGGGCCCCATGTTCCCGTAGAATATGATTGTTCTGAAACTGATGATGATACTTTCTGTATAAAATCTTGTCCTTGTACCTCAGAGGATCATCTTAGCCCCCGTTCAGATTCATACTCTGAGTTATGGGGCCAAGAAGATCTGAGTGAAGGACAAAGTAATGAAATGTACAACGGTGTACATAGAGTTTCACTTTCAAGTTCTTCCGTTTCTAGCATCGATAGATTTGGTCAGATGTGTCAGGTAGAAGCCACCGAGAATTTGGAGGCTGAGAACAGTATATTATATTTTCAAAACAGTAATTCTGTGTGTCTTCCTGGTCTTGATTCGGTTACACATACACATAACGGAGGAGTATGTGATTCATTCAGAACTGAGGCTTTGGCATCTCAATCTCAGACTGGGCTCCCACCTCCTCCACCTCTGCCTCCTATACTGTGGACGATGAAGGATGCCTCCGTTCATAAAGCCGAAAAAAAGGATTCTAGTGTTGCTGAAATAGTGGAGCGCTTCAATGTAATGCAAGCACAAAGGCTCACAGCTCACAAGCAACAAGAACTCAATGTACCAAGTCAACCTCCTTTTCCGGAGATAATGTCATGCCCCATCAAGAAATTGGTAAGTGCAGAAATCCTGTTTGCCTTATGTGTTATATGTTAAGTTGAGACAGTGATATTTCTTATCATTGTGATTAATTTATTTATAGCATGGTATGTAAAGGAAATTTGACAATTAGAACCTAAACCGTATTAGTTGGAACGTACGAACCATGTCATGAACTGTTCCAGGCAAAAATGTGGAAACTGTTGGATTGTGGGCTACAATGTATATCAAGCTAATAGTACACAAAATTTTCCTGCAGGATGATGAACAAAACATGATCAGAGAAGAAATTAAAACTAACGATAAAGGTGAGCAAAAGCGCAGAAAGGATGAGCTTCTTCATCAAACCTGGAAGAAGGTATATGTTCAAAGCCATTTAGAATCACTTCATTTTTTCTGAAGTTGTTAACTGAAGTTAACTTCTCTTGGTCGGATTTGCTATCATACTGAAACTAATTTAGCATATGAGACAGGTAAGACTAGGCAGGCCAATAAAGAATTTATTTGAGAAAGGAGCAACTAAAGATTTAAAATGAACTTTCAAAGCAATCGTTCACCGGAAATTTGCACGTTAATTTAATTCTAGTAAGAATCCTAATCATTTTAGGATTTCATTGAGACTGTAGATGACACATATTGGGGAAAAAAGTATGGGAAAAAGTTTTGTTCCTAACAGGATCTAGAGGGAAAAGCCTAATTATATCCCCTCTCCTAATTATATCCTCTCTCCTAATTATATCCCCTCAGAGAGGGTCTAGAAAATGTATCAAATATCTAAGCAAATGCGCAAATACTCTTATATTTTATATTAGATATTATAGAGAAATTAGAGTTGGAACTGTCAAGTGTAGGTAGTTCAATAATCTACCCGAAAGTTCAAGTGACAGATAGTTGAATGTACTGAGAATAACAAATTTTAGTTACTAGGTGCTTGTGGAAAAATAAATAATATAATTTATAGCAGAGCTACTATCAACTAATTTGGCACAAACGAATTTACTGACGTGTGCTTTTGTGACAATATTTTATTCAGGGATCTTATTCTTTTTTATTTATAAGAATGATTTATCATAAAGTTTTAAGGTCTTGAGCATAAACAACGGACTTCAAAAACGCTCGCCATTGTGTTTAATCTATTTGCAGCATGACCAACAAAAGCTGAATGCACACAAAGAACTGGAAATTCCTTGTGCCAATGGTCAGGAAGTCGATGAAAGGGAAGAGCTGCTTCATCAAATCAGGAACAAGGTATCTCCGAGTTTTTCCCAACTAAGCTCCTAACATGCTGAATTTCTTAATTGTATATTCCTACTGGAAAAGATATTGTATTTCTAGAAATAATAAGTTAACCATATACTCCTACTGGAAAATATATAATTGTATTTCTAGAAATAATAAGTTAACAATAGACAAGGACATCATGAATAAATGTCCCTATGCTATCCAGGGTAGCGCTAAATTTTCGTCCGTTTACATGTAATCCTCAGGAATCAATGAAAATTCTTCTGTCCTTCTTCTGTACTTCACACCTCTTTTGTCTATTAATGGGATAATGATCTCCCTGCTTTATTTATGGGCAGTTTTCTAAAATTTATGGTGGACTTCTAAACATATATGCGTGTGTGTATGGAATTTCTAGAATTAAGAAACAAGTACAATGTCATCAATAACTGCCCAATAAATATATTCTACAGGTGGAACAAATTTTTATCTATCTATACATAATCCTCAAGAGTTCCATGATTTGAAGGTCTGTAAGTGTTGTTTCTTTGGCAATCAATTCACAGTAAGCGGTTTTCATTTAACTTGAAAAATCATTAGAATTCTTTTATTACCGAGCGTATTGGTGTTGTTTACATATCAATCATGAGCTGCAATGGGATCACAATTGTAGCAAATGTTAAGAACTGTAGACAATGCAGACATTGAATTGTCCTCTATGTCTAGATTCTTGTTGTTTTTCAGTCATAAAATGTAAAGCGTAACCTGTTTCATCTATTTTTTATAGTAAAATGAGTACTGGAGCATCAAATCATTATTATTTTTAGCTGATACACGCTTTTGTATTCTTGCTGTGAAATATGCAGTCATTTAATCTTCGACACACCTCATCCACAAAGCCCAGTCCTGTGTCTCAAGCTACCACCAACACCAATGTTGCTGCAATTTTGGAGAAAGCAAATGCTATTCGTCAGGTCATCAAAGTCTCATACTAATCTCTATCTTTCACAGTTACATAAGTTTTTGTTTTTTTTAAACCTCTGTTTGTTGTTGTGCTTCTCAAACTCGACATTTTTATTTAATTTAATTATTCTTTTTTCACAGTTGAATAAGACTTCAGTATCTTTTATTACCTGAGATGCCCAATAATGCGAGTATATATACTTGAGAAGACATGAGACTAGGATTTATAAGTAGCTATCTGGACAACATATACAAGAGAAATGTAAAAGGTTTTAGAAATATCATGTATTTACTAAAGAAGATAGCAGAGTGGTCAGATTTTTGTAAGGATGTGAACTTATTATTAACAGAACCAGAAGTCATCAGTTCAGATTAGGATTACTAAAACATTTATTTTTTGGTAGACTTTCTATTTATATATGTCTCATAAATATATTACATTTCCAGGCATTTGTGGGTAGCGATGATGGGGGTGATGATGATAATTGGAGTGATGGCTAAATCAAGCTTTTGATCTTGGCAGATTCTTCCATATATGAGCTTCCACCACAGTTGACTGATCTTATGGTAGTTTTTGTTAGATTTGTGAACAGCGTTGGTGCATCATGTAATTATTGTTCGCGAGCCTTGTGTTATATCTTTCTTAGGTCTTATTTGTCTTTTTATTCAATCTGGGGGTAAGAAATATCTTCATGTAACATAGAACATTTTTCCAATATTATTTGTCAATTATATGAATGGCTGGGTAAAATAATATTTAATTTTCTTTACTTTTCTAACTTTTTCATGTTGTAGTCTTGAATGCAACTTTAGCTTCTTGTAGGTTTAACAGTTAAAGTTTAGCTCCACCCCAAATTTTCTGCCATGTTTATTTCTCAATTTTATAATGATGTTGAAGGATTAAATCAGTGTAAACAGTAGAAAAATAAGTGGAACTATCAATTTTACAATTTCCTCCTTTCCTGTTCTATAGGAATTTTTCTTTGGTAATAACCGCATTTGAGTCTCGACCAGCCCAGAGTAAATGCTATGCTCTGCCTAAGGGTGTGTTTGTTTGAAAAAAAACATGGAAAGAAGTGGAAAGGTATTGTTGTTGTCAGTACAAAATCAAATGAAGATAAAATACTTCCTATTCTTGTGTTTGTTTAAAAAAAAGGAAAGTGTCTCTCCCATTCTCACCTGCAAAAAGTTTAGAAAAAAAGTTGGAAATCTTTCAAGATCGCTGCTGCTCTTTCTCTCTCTCTCTCTCTTGTTCTCATCTTAAGATTTGGAAAAAAAAACCCTAAGTCTCCATACCTTACTGAAGATCTGTCTTGTCCAGCAAATCGGTGTTCAGATCTGTGCTTTTTCCGACCCTGGTTATCCCGCAATTGAAATCAAAGCAACTAGGAAGGTAAATTTTCCTTTTTAATTTACTTTTCTTTTCTTTCTTTTTCATGTAGTAGTCTTGATTGCAACTTTAACTTCTTGCAGGTTAACACTTAAATTTTAGCTTCACCCTAAGTTTTCTGCGATGTTTATTTCTCAATTTTATAATGTTGAAGGATTAAATCATTGTAAACAGTAGAAAAATCAGTGGAACTATCAATTTTACAATTTCCTCCTTTCCCGTTCTATAGGAATTTTTCTTTGGTAATAACCGCATTTGAGTCTCGACCAGCCCAGAGTAAATGCTATGCTCTACCTAAGGGTGTGTTTGTTTAAAAAAAAACTTGGAAAGAAGTGGAAAGGCATTGTTGTTGTCAGCACAAAATCAAATGAAGATAAAATACTTCCTATTCTTGTTGTTTTCGCTGAAAGTTGTCTTTATTACTGAATTCATTATAACTTTAGTCGTTTACAAAGAATTCAAATAATCAACAAAAGAAAGAAACTTTAGTCGTTTACAAAGAATTCAAATAATCAACAAAAGAAAGAAATAAAGGAATTACAACTCTCTCGAAAATAACACAAGATCCGTTCGTCGTCTCTTGGAATTACAACTCTCTCGAAAATAACACAAGATCCGTTCGTCGTCTCTTGCTTGCGTGGGTTTTTGGCCAGTGATGGGGACGTCAATATCCGTGGACCACCTGACAATTAGATCAGATCCAAAACTTCGTCGATTCGCGAAGGAATCTAGAAGCAGAAGCGTTTATCTTGACAACGGCGAGATAATTGCTCTTCTTAAGATTACCGCAACGGGATAATCCTAAGGAACGGACACGGGCGATGTAGATCTGAAGAACCTTTCTCTCCTGTGCTGAAGAACTCGATCAATCTTCAGTCCGGCAGGGCTTCGCCAATTCTCCAAAAATTCCAGATCTCAAAAAATAAAGGTACTGGGCTGTATTTATAGGCTCCGGGGAATCCAGGCGGTTAAAACTGCATAACAGTCAAAAAATCCGATTTTTAGGGTCTAAGACACCCTCGGGCGTCTCAGCGAGGCCGAGACACCCTTGGGGGTGTCTCGGTTGGGCCGAGACACCTCGAGGTGTCTTAGCTTAGGCTGAGACAGTCCGTTTTGCGCGCTTGTCCATTTCCGCCGTAACTTCATCCGAATTCGGATTTGAGTGATTCAAAGTGCGTTGGAAAGCCGACGATGAGATCTATAAGCTCCGATGATTGGATCATTGTGGAGTAAACTGGGATACGAGGGGCGTTTTGCCTTTTGTAAGCGACGCGGGGCTCCCGATCAGTTCGTATCTTCGTTATTCTGAAACTCCGTTGCTTCACGTAGTTCGTCGATTCACTTCAAGCGTTCGTCGACGTCAATCGAAACTCCGTTGCTTCACGTAGTTCGTCGATTCACTTCAAGCGTTCGTCGACGTCAATCCAGCTTCTGTGACTTGGATAGTAACGTTCATCGTCTTCTCTTAGCTTCGAGCTGTTTGTGGAGACCTATAGGTAATTTTCGATGCCTATAGATACCCCCTCCAAAGCGTTTCAGTCTCGTTTCTTTTATAGAAGAGGCTGGAATACTTTGGATGTGATTGGTCTAGCCTTCGGTCGGTGTACAGGACCTGTAGTTAGCTTCAATTCTTGACTCCTTCGATTTTTAGTCTATTCAATGTTTTGACGAATAGCTGAAGTTCTTCCGGCGCTGCGTTTATCGTCTGGCCGTCGTCGAAGTCTCGAATCTAAAACTGATGAGTTGAGTTTGGCTCGTGTCGTTGAGTTGACTTAGAACTGACTATCTCCATCACATCGTGCTGACTTAGGGTTTCAAATCGCCGTACGTTGACTTTTTGTCACAACGCGTTGACCAGCGTTGACTCATGGGTTTAAATCGTCGAACATTGACTTTTTCATCGCACGCGTTGACTGGCGTTGACCTAGGATTGCGTGTTGACCGGCGTTGACCTAGGGTTTTAGATCGCTCGGCGTTGACTTTTTCATCGCAACGCGTTGACTAGCTTTGACCTAGGGTTACGCGTTGACTGGCGTTGACCTAGGATTACGCGTTGACTGGCATTGACCTAAGGTTTCGGATCGCCTGACGTTGACTTTTTTATCGCAATGCGTTGACTGGCGTTGACCTAATGTTGCGCATTGACCGACGTTGACCTAGGGTTTTAGATCGCTTGGTGTTGACTTTTTCATCGCAACGCGTTGACTAGCTATGACCTAGGGTTGCGCATTGACCGGCGTTGACCTAGGGTTTTAGATCGCTCGGTGTTGACTTTTTCATCGCAACGCGTTGACCTAGGGTTACGTATTGACCGGCGTTGACCTAGGGTTTTAGATCGCTCATCGTTGACTTTTTCATCGCAACGCGTTGACTGGTGTTGACCTAGGGTTACGCGTTGACCGACGTTGACCTAGGGTTTTGAATCGTTCGGTGTTGATTAGTGTTGATTTTTATCAAAATGTCCAATAACCGACGAAAACGGACGAAATTCGGGCTTGAAAAAAATATCCGGGGGCTCAAACTGGGCCAAGACACCCTTGGGTGTCTTGGCCTTGGCCGAGACACATGCCCTCTTCTCCCTTTTTTTTTGTTTTGCTTGTTTCTTGTGTACTTTTCCCCCTCTTTCAAAATTTTCAAAAGAGAGTCCTTTCCCCCCTAAACTTCTTCTTCTTCCTCCTGTTATCCAAACACCATTGTTCTCCTTCTTCAAGAACTCCCCATCCATTAAAACACTTGTCTTTAAAAACCCTCCACCACAAAAAAATTCGGATATCTTCCTCTCTCTCTCTTGACCGAATTTTATCTCCCTTCAAAGCTAGGGTTTTTCTTCATCTTCAAGCTCAAGGAAAGCTTCTTGATTTGGGTAAGTTTTCCTTCAAAATTCTCTCCTTTTTTAAGAAAGATTGCAACTTTATGCTTGTAATGAGGGTATGCCATGAATTCATATGCAAGGATCATAGCTTTTGTTCTCATGAGTTAGGTTTTGTGAAAAAGATAGGATCTTGATGATGGATTGTGTGTATGGACCAGGGGGGGGTTTTATGCAAAAATGTAATATGGCCGAAATTTGAGGGGCTTTTGTGCAAAAGTGGACTGAAGTTTGAGGACTTTTGTGCAAAAGTGGACTGAAATTTGGGACTGAAATTTCACCCTTATTTGGCCAAACTTTGAGGGGTGTTTTCATGCAAAAGAATCAACGTTGTTGAGGGGTTTAATTGCAAAAAGCAACCGAATATTGTAGAGGGGTTTATTTGCAAAAGGGCTGAAATTTTATGTCTGAAATTTTAAGAGTTTAGACCAAAAACCCATGACCAAAAATTTGAGAAGAGTATGTGCAAACTAGACCGAAATTTGTGGAGGGGTTTATTTGCAAAATTAGCCAAATTTTATAAAAGGGTTTATTCGTAAAATTAGTCGAGATTGTGAGATATCGGGGATGTTAGGTGAACAAACACGATGATCATGGCCAAAATTCGAATGCGTCCATGACTAGAATTTAGCCTCGAACAAGAGGGGTATTTTGGGTATTTCACCAAAATTCATCGTGAGGGTTTATATTGCAATTTGAGCCCATTGTTTGCATGCACAAAACTCATAGGTTTAATTAGACTTCAACTATAAAATCCTATTCTATTTATAGGACTTTAGTTAAAGTTCTTAATTTCCCTTTTAATCTTCGGGCACCCGGATTTATGATTGTACCTGATCCGTTGATTTTTATTGCAGGTTATCCATGTCTCCGCGCCGACCGCGATTTCATAGGAGTCGCTCCTCTTCACAGCATAGCGAGAGGGAGACTCCCGTAGCATTCTCTCCCGCGGCATTCTCTTTCGGGGGTGAGCATTTGTGCTTTCTGTATCCCCGTTTGACCCCTTCGCGGGTCATTCGGGAAGAATCGACGTCCTCCTTCGCGGGGATCGAGGTTTCAGGAGATTTGTGGTTCTGTCATGCCCTCGTTTGGTCCATTCACGGGTCATTCGGGAAGAACAGACGTCCTCCTTCGCGGGGATCGAGGTTTCAGGAGATTTGTTTTGCTTGGTCAATTCAAGTCTTCCGGCATATTGAGGCGATTTCGTGTTGTATTACACTGTGTAGGTCGGGATACGTTACCACGTTCCAGTGTAGGACATTCAAAATCGTCTCGCCAATTGCTCAATGAATGATCCTATCTCGCCATCTTGTGAGATGAATTTGATCATTGTGTAATTCATGGATAATTTTCTGACTCTACCCTTGTTTTGTCACAGTTGAATTCCCTGCGGACAGTCTTCCCCCTTATGCTACTAGTGGTTGCAGTGGGGAGATTTTTTCTTCTGTTGCTGGTGAGCAGGCCATTGGTCCGACTCCTCGGTTTGATAGGAGCCGT